GCGCCTCACCGATATCATCAACACGGAGCATGAAAATGTCAAGTACCTGCCCGGGCACAAGCTGCCCCCCAATGTGGTGAGTGTGGCCCCCCGAGAGCTGAGCGTGAGGTCCGGTCGGTGCCGAGAGCCAGGCTCTCTGGTGAGAGGTAATAAATAGCTGTGCTGGGAGCTGCTGGTGTCCTGGGCACTGGGGTGTGAAGGTGGGGGATGCACCGAGCTGCACAGGACTCAGTGACACCCTCCTGGTGACCTTGATCTGTGCTTGGATGAGCTGCAGCCCTGGCTGCTCTCGCTGCCCACCTTCACCCCCGCTCTGGCATCCCACAGCCTGGGCTGGAGGCCATTTGGCTGCCTCCGAGCGGGCGTGGGCAGCACACGCTCTGGCATCCCACAGCCTGGGCTGGAGGCCATTTGGCTGCCTCCGAGCTGGCGTGGGCAGCACACAGAGACCCTGTGGGGCCGGCTGCCCCACGGCTGTACGCTCAGCCCCTCGGCGGGCACTGGGCTGCTGAGGTCCCCAGAATGACCCCAGGTCTTTGCCCACCTTCACAGGACCAGCTCAGGGTGCTTTCACCCTGCTCTGCTCCAGCCCCTTTGCCCTGCCAGCCCTGGAAGGAAATATTAGGGCAGTGACTTTGTGCCCTTCCTTCCCTTACAGGGAAGTCCCTCCCCAGCAGTTGTTCTCAAGCCCCATTCCCCTTGTCCTGGATTCGGGACACACTCACTGCCCAACTACAGGCACGAGACCCTGGTGACAGTCACACTCTCTATACAGGTAGCAGAGCCAGACCTGCTGAAAGCCTGTGCTGGGGCTGACATCCTCCTCTTTGTGGTGCCCCATCAATTTATCGGCAAAGTCTGTGACCAGCTCAAGGGCCATTTGAAGAAAGATGCTGTTGGGGTGTCACTCATCAAGGTGTGAAGGGCAGCTCATGGGGCACTTCTGGGGGTTTAACTGGAAATAGCCTGGCTTGGAGAGGCTGCAAAGGGAATCCTGGGGTTTGGGGGTAGAAACTGGGCTCCAGGGTTGTGAGGGAGGTGAGTGGGAAGTGGGAGCAGAGTCTTTGTGGGGATTTGGAGGTGTACTGGTGGGGGATCTCAGGCACTGTGAGGAGTGGGGTGCAGCTGAGCACCGGGGGGGCTGTTGGGATGAGATTTGGAGCATTTCAGCACAGGGAATAACAGGATTGGGGCAGGTGGGGCCAGGTCTCCAGAGGAGCAGGTGCTCATCTCTGTCCCTGGTTGTCTCCCAGGGGGTGGATGAAGGACCAGATGGGCTGAGGCTGATCTCAGACATAATCCAGGAGAAACTGGGAATAGAAATGAGTGTCCTCATGGGGGCCAATATTGCTAGTGAAGTGGCAGAAGAGAAGTTCTGTGAAACAACCATCGGTAAGGAGCCAACATCTCCCCTCATTAGCAGCCTCCGTTTCTGACGAGCAGGAAGAGGCAAAGGGGTGTGCATGGTGCAGCTTTAACTACCGTTGCCTCGGGTGAGCCGGCCCTTTTTCCCTGTGGAGGCAGTGAGACTCCATAGGAGCTGGATGAACTCATTCACAGGGTTTACGATGTGATTGTTCGCTTCATTAAAAACAGACTTGTGTGTCTAGAAGTTCCTGCCAGCATGGACTCAGCATCAGGCAGTTTGCCTGGCACAAATTAAAGGGGTGGACACCAAGAGGCCCTTTTCAAAATAGAGTTCCTACCTTCATTTCCTTGGGCTTCAAGTGGTGCTCACCTGGATCTCATGTTATTGCCAACCAGAGCTGCTTGAACGTTCATCTGGTGACTGTTCCTGACATCCTCCACGCTGTTTGTGAATCACACACAGCAGCCAAAACCAACAGAACAGTTCGCTGGGTTAGAAGTGACGGGATTCAAAGTGTCTGTATTTTAAACAAAAGCAAACAAGCTGTGCAGGAGGCTGCAGAGACTGGAGAGGTAGAAGCAGAGCATGCTGTCACCGTGAGCACACAGAAACGCTTCCATGCAGGACACTGCAGGAACGGGGAGAACAGCAGTCTCCAAACCCAAATTTGCAACCTTTGAAGATTTCTTTAATCTAATGGGCACATCATTTCTCTCTTGCTTGACACAGTGGTAGGGATTGTCCCTATCTTTTGGGAATTCCAAGGTTGAACCTTGTTTATCTGCCAGGCAATGTGTGCTTGGCACTTCGTGGACCTGCAAATGTTTAGCAACAGCCATCAGTTGAGCAATAGGTTCTTCTTGCTGCACTAGCTGCAAGGGCTATGCTGCAGGAACGCACCTCTGGGCAGGAGAGCAGCACAGTCCTACCTTAGGGTCTCCCCCCATCATCTTCCTCTTTCTCCCTTTGTCTCATCAGGCTGCAAGAACAAGCAGCACTGGCAGACACTGAAGGAGCTGATGCAGACACCAAATTTCCGGGTGACGGTGGTGCAGGAAGCTGACACTGTAGAGATCTGCGGGGCTCTCAAGGTGGGTGAGCTGCTCACCAGGGTTTGCAGGTCTTGGTTAGCAGAGCCTGGGGTTCTCTACCTGCAGGGAGCTCTGGGGAGGAGGCTGCCAGTTGAATGGACACTGGATATTGCACTGTGGCTCGCTGAGACCGTTGGGTCAAAGGCTGGACTCTGGAGGGAACTGTGGATGTGTCCTGTTGAGCTGCTTGGAGGGATGATGATCATTGGCAGAGGCAGGAGCCTGTGCTTGGGATCACACAGGCAGCTCATGGACACAGCAAAGCCCTGAGCTCCACTGGGAACAGATCCCTCCACGTTGCTGCTGTTTTCCAGAACGTTGTGGCGGTAGGAGCTGGTTTCTGCGATGGGCTCGGCTATGGAGACAACACGAAGGCTGCTGTGATCCGTCTAGGACTGATGGAGATGATTGGCTTTGCCAAACTCTTCTGTAAGGGCTCCGTCACCTCCTCCACCTTCCTGGAGAGCTGTGGCGTTGCTGACCTCATCACTACCTGCTACGGTGGCCGTAACCGCAAAGTGGCTGAGGCTTTTGCCAAGACTGGGAAGGTAAGTGGAGTGGGGAGCAGGCAACGCTGGTGTCCATCAACCTGCTGAGCAGGCAGGGAGGTGAACCCGATTAGCACCATGGTATCCTGCCTTCACTCACCCAGTCCCACAGCCTGGCTCCAGGGAAGGAACGTGGGGCAGCAGATGGGGTTGCAGGGTCCAGCTCTCTCACTGTTGGGTTGTTTCAGTCTATTGAGCAGCTGGAGAAGGAGATGTTGAATGGGCAGAAGCTGCAAGGTCCCCAGACATCTGCTGAGCTGCATCGCATCCTTAAAAGCAAGAACCTTGTGGAGAAGTGAGTGCTCTCATCTCCCTTGTCTGTTCTTTTGGGGTGGGCTGGGATCTTTCCTGCAGCTGTGGGAAGGGAAACCCACCCATAGTGTCTCTGCTGTTCAGGTCAATCTCTGCCCTGTTTACATCAAACCAGCTGGGCAGGAACAGCCTGTTGGATGAGGCACCATGTCACTGTCCCCCCTGCTCCTGCCCAGTGGTCCTGCATGTTGCAGCAGAAGTTGAGGTGACTCTGCCAGTTGTGGTGACAGGGCAAGGGGTGACTTTGTTCATCTGCCAACAGGTTCCCCCTCTTCACAGCTGTGTATCGGATCTGCTACGAGGGCAAACCTGTTACTGATGTCATCAAGTGTCTCCAGAACCACCCTGAGCACATGTAAAGGGGCTCTGCCTGCAAAACCAGTGATCCCGCTGAGATGAGCGGAGAGCTCCTGCCCACACCAACTTGCTCTGCAGCTACAACTTTGTAAGGAGTCTGGATTTCCTGGGAGCCTTTGCAGGGTGCTGGAAGGGCAGAGGTTCCCTTTCTCAACCCTGGACACTGCCAGCCTGAGCCTGGCACCTGCACAGAGGTACCTGCTGATCTCCCTCTCTCTCTGAAGGGCTCATTTAGCTTCTTCTGCTGCCTAGGGTCTGCCTTGAGCGGGGCTGAGCATCTTCCTCCTTTCACTTTCTCTTGACATGATGGATCCATATCTTGGTTGGACTCTACCAGGTGGTCTTGATCGATACGGGCTGTGCAGGAGGCACCACTTGGGAGGACAAGCTTTGCTATTAGCCCCATGGGGCCACTTTGTGTGATACCAGCCCTTTCCTGCTTGTTGCTGCTGTTGCTTTTGGCTTAACTGTCTCATGGAGAGGGCACACTTCCCTGCCAGGCTCTAATAAGGTGAATGAAGCTCCTAAGGACTTTCAAAGGGGCTGGGAATCACTCTCCTTTCTATGAAGTGCCAGCACAGAAAGCATTCTTTGCCATTCTGCCATGGGCTG